AATTCTTTAAAAGAAAGGAAAAAATGAGATGCTATACTTTTTTTCTTTTCTTTTTTTTTAAAGGAGGGGAGGAGGGAGGACCCCAAGTCTCCGCGCTGTACCCCAGTACATTGTTCGGTTAATGCATGCTAGTTTTATGATTGGAATACATGTAGTCCGGCCACCCAGACAGAGGCATTGACTGCTAATATTAACCAAGAACAATAGTGTGGCCATACTGGCTGCAGTGAGGATTACAGAACATAATGGGGCCTATCCAAAAATAATGCTAATACAGGACAAGCAACAGGAAGCAGCAGTAGACTCAGCATTGCTCGGCTCCCAGACAAACCATGGACTTACTTCACACAATGGCAACTTCAGCACATTATGTATTCACAGGATACTCATTATTCCAGCAGGCTTGCCAGATCAGAGATCAGCCTGGTTTACTGGACGCTTAAGCGTATGCATAGTTTGGATAGCGGTACTTTTGTGTCCTTCATCATTTGGCAGAAGGGTGGCAGTTGTATTGCAGAGAAGGTCTTGACTTCGGTTACTGGCTTGGCTTGTGCCAAGGCAGAATGGGGGGGAAAGCCTCTCCTGGAAGCTGCTAATATAGTTAAATTTGTTTTCATGTCTTCTCCTTTATGTGGCACTGTAATGTTTACTGGCACTAAGAGCAATGAAGGAACTACTCAAAATGAAGACTAAAGGAACAGCGTGCTGTTTTCATGTGGGCATATTCTGATGAGGCTCTTGGCTAGGCTGCCTGCTTGAGGTTCAGCCTAGCTCTTGGCCATGGACTCTGAGGCGTCAGGTTGTTACAGCTTAGACTACAGTTCATTTATATACGTGGGTTGAGAGGGTAACAGCTTTATAGGGTGTTGGCTTATCCTTATGTAGGCTGGCCCAAAGAAGAGCTTCCTGATGATGTTGCACTCGATAAAGGGTTAAGAGGGTTAGGTTGTTTCCCTCCTTTTCCCAATATGTCTGTATCCCCTCTGGATGGGGAACCAGTTGTGTTCAGCATCTTTGAAGGAATATTCTGTTGTCAAAGTTGACTGGCTGACCATGGCGTGACGTTGTGACAGATCTGTATAGCGTCATCATGACTTGTCATGTGGCTACAGGAGTACCCAAGCGAGAGTCCTGCTGACATTTAAAGGAAGTGGTTTTCTGACTAGCCTCAGCTCTGCTCAGAGGTGGCCTCCTCCCTGGCCTTTGGGCACTTTGAAATATGCCTCAGTTTCCCTCTTCCCTATCTCACCCCCTCCCAGCTGAAGGGAGGAAGGATTGCCAGAGCTCTGGGCAATTTGCTGTGGCCTGCCGTGACAGTGTGCCGGTCTCCTAACCTCCTTCCCTAGGACACAGGCAGGGTGCGAGCTCTGTTCTCAGACTGGTCTTCATGGCTGGCAGAGCGTGAGGAGAACATTGCTGGGCTTAACCTGCTCTCCTTGTTTGGCAGAGGAGGAGCAGGCACAGCATTCAGAATGCAAACTTCCCACTGCATTTGTCTAGTCATGGTTTCACATGCTCAGCAAAGCTCTTGTATGGTTTAACCACAAGGATAGCAGGGAAAGAAGTTTGTCAAGTTGCAACCTCTTTCAAAAAGGAGGCCGTCCTTTCACTAATGAGCTTGATGTTTTAATCTCGCTCTATCCCACTGACTCGCAGAATGCATTTAGAAGCCAAAGTACAAAAACACCTCTTTTGGGTGGATGTCTGGATGAAAGGAGGGAAGAAGGTAATCAAACTGAGAGCTTTAAACACCTGCTGCTTACCTGGAGCTGCTAGTATTTCATTTAAATAACCAGAAAAGAGGTTGCGTTGCCCTTTCAGACCCCTAAAGGGGCAATTTCTGATGGATTTCAGGGTCTTCAAAGTCTTTCTTGAGTTGTATTCTCAGTGGATCAAGACTAAATCATGCTGTCTTGTCATTGAGGAAAATGCCCTTGCACATTGGTGCTTGCTTTGTTTTTTGAAGTGCGAACTTCACCATTTCCATCTTCTCATAGCTTAACTTATAGGAGTTTTGCTTAAATTTGTCCGTGCTGCCTTTCAGTCCTCTGGGCTGATCAGACTGTGGATGTTTTGCAAACTGTGCTGGCTTGCTGTTCCTTTCCAGCTGCCTTTCCTCTTAAGCCAGAATCCTTGCCTTCTGGTCAAGCTCAGGTTTACAGTGGCTAATTGGGTGTGACTCTGGAAAGTTCACTGCTGCCTTGTTGCCTAGGACATTGCTTTGATGGAATAAGGTGCATGATGTGGAATTCTTGTGTCTGGATATATATATTTATTCAAAGATGAGCAGAGGTCATCTATGGGCATGGGAAAACTTAAACCTCCATGCTGTAAGTAGTCATTCCTGAGATATCTGAATTGTTGATCTATAGAGTGGGGGTGATATGCACTTTTTTAAAAAAAAAAAAAACCCAACAGGGCAGTCTTTGCCCAGAACTGTGATTTTTTTTTTTTTTTTTTTTGGGGGGGGGTGAGGGGGGAATTAGCTGGAGGTATGTGATAGTTGGATTGTTGAGAGGGGGCTTGCTACTGTTGTTGTGGGGCTGTGGGCGTCTGTGTGTCTTTTGTTTAGAAGTGCCCCATCTTGAACACGAAGTCTCATCCTTTCTTCAGCTGATGCTGAGAGGGACAGAGCCAAGAGATTGAACTGCCATACTTTGTGTCATCCCTTTTCAGGACAGGGATTCCTCATTTAAAATATTCATATGAGGTGAGAGGGGGCACATAGAAACATGGGAATTGCTAGAGTAGGTCTATTCCCCCTGCATTTTGTCTCCATGCAGTTCAGCAGAAGTATCTCCTCTTTTTAAACAAACTCCAGTGTGGTGTTGGAAAGTGGTCACACAGGTATCTAGCAACAGTAGCACTCAAAGCTAGGATTCAGCCTTTCCTTTCCTTAAGGGCTAGGTGTGTTGGTAAACAGTCCTGAGAACCAGCTGGGAACTGTTGCTATGAGTTTAGACAAAATATCTTCCAAAACAATTATGCAAGGCTGAAAGGAAAACATCCTTAGCTTTATTGGAAGTAGTGCTAGTTGCGATAATTCATTCTCGATATCATAATATTTTTTTTCAAGCTTGCAGTAACATGTTGTGCTTGTGCTTCTCAATGTTGGTAATTAAACCAGTGAGGAAGCACCCAAGATAGTGCCATCTGTAATAGGGCTTGGGAGTTCTATTCTGGTTTGGTTTGGTTGGGTTTGGTCTGGTTTGGTTTTTTTACCTCTGACTTGTGTAAGGACTTCTTAAATCTGGTTTAAACAGTGTTAAACGATCACGTAGTGTTTTATTTTCAGAGTTTCTTTCAAGTTGACAGACTTGGTCTAGAATAGTAACAAATAACATGTAACTTTCATGAAATATTAACCAAAAATGGTTTGGGCCAATGGAGCCTCTGCATAGAAGTTTGGGCGCATGTCTTGGCTTGCCCAGCTTTGCTTACTTTTGGAAGCACTTTCCCACAGTTATCAGTGAACGAAATGGAATCCTAGTCTGCTTTGAATATGAAACATATTTAGGCTATATTGCAAGCCAGTGTCCATCACAAAGTAGGTTTTCATTCGGAGGCTGCATGCTGTGTCCAGTCGTGAGAAAGCAGTCTGCTTCAACTCTTTTTTTTTTTTTTTTTTTTTTTTTCCTGTCCACTTAAGGAATTTGAGGTCTGCCTTACGCTTGTACCTTGTAGCAGCTTACTCTCGGACCTGTGTTTTGGTTTCTGTAACAGAAAAGGTGTTAAGCACTGGAGACCACAAAGAGCAGACTGTGACTGAGCGCAGATAGAATTAAGAAGAAATAAAACTTATGATACACAGCTTTTATGACAAAGCATCAAAATCCTTCATGGAGCATTTTTATTTGTTCTATTATTGTTCTGCTCACCAGAAAGATGTTACATTTATTACCTCATTGATATTCATTATTATAGTTTTTACTTTTCACATCATATTTTTTTTCTTATTTTTCCTCAGCTTATTTTTCTTGAGGGGGGTGGGTGGCGTTTTGGTTTTGACTCTTTCTATAAGTTTGGATATGACTGGCTAAATGGCGATTTTGAAAGATACAGCCTGGATAATAATATCTCCGAGTAGAGCTGGGGGAGGAGAAGATGTTTTAATGGCTCTTGTTCTCAAGTTAGGATTGAAGATAAAGGTGGCTTAGATGTAATAGCTGGCATCTTTCCAACCCGTGGAGTCACTTCAGTTAGTTTACGCTTATGATTATTATTGCTGGAGTGCTAGAGAGCTCATTGGCAGATTAGTGCGTCTGTAAATGTGACACGGGGTGGATAGCGCGTCTTCCCTTTCCCTGCTCTTCCAAATAGTCTGATCTTAGCCTTTGTTTTACAATGCTTCTCTCTCACCCCACCCCCTTCCCATATCCATCAGTTCTTCCCTCAGTTACCTGATACTTGTGGGAGCTGCGATGGCCCTCATGCAGACAAAGCTTTCAAAGGGGGTGCTGAAAAGCAAAGTCCCTAGAGATTGCACTGTCAAGGCAGAGTGCAGTAATCTTAGCAACACTTCTTGCTTTCAGGATGGCTGGGGGAAGGGACATCAAGGCTCCTTTTCTGTAACTAAAATTCTTTTGAAGCAGTTTTTTGGGGGGGGGGGAGTTGGTTTTGGTTTTTTGATGCTGCTATGATAGCCTGGTGTTTTCTGTCTTCCATGTGCAATTCTTCCACACATGCTTTACTGTGGGTACAGCACAGTGTCAAAGGCTGTACTTCCTGGTTAAGTACATAAGATGCATTAATGATGACAAAGATGAGCTATCCAAGGTGAAAGGTCTAAGTCAGACTGGATAAGGTAGCTTATGGGGTTTCAAGAAGATCGTGTTTGTCTCAAGTATAATCTATTACCTATTTATGTTTTCAAGTAGTCCATTTTAGGGCAGAGACCAGGATTTTTCTTTTTAATTAAAAAACTGAGGTTTGTTTGGTGTTTGTTTGTTTTCCTTACAGTCATTGTGGCTTTGAAACTAACTCTTATTTTTCTTTTGCAGAGATCCTACACATTGCTTGTTGAGGCATGGGATTACAATGATAACTCTACTAGTAAGTATTCATTCCGCTGGTTTACTTAGTTCAGACACCTTGATTTCCTGTCCATTGAAAGGCTTTTGGTAGTCTAACCAGCTTACTGTGAAGTAGAGCGTAAGGAGAGGGGAAAAGCTCTCCCCCAGACCACTCAGAGCAACTACTCCAGGCTCTGCAGCAGCCTGTCTCCCTCACACTGTTTGTAGAGGGTGAGTAGCTCGCTCACCTAGGCACCGATGGTTTGATGCCTAAAAATAGATGCTGTTAATTCCCTCCTTCTCCTTAGGGAAGGAAAAGGGGTTTCTTCAGGGTTTTTTTGGGGGTGGTTGGTGGTTTTTTGTTTTTGTTTGGGTTTGGGGTTTGTGTGTGTTTTGGTTTTGGTTTGTTTTTTTATTAGGAGTGATATTCAGAAGCCTAAGTCTTGTTGACTTGGGACGTCTCTATAAACTATGTACTTCTCAAAACTGAACATGCTGCTTTAAAAAAAGACTCCGCAAGACTAGTACAGATATCCATCTAATGACTGTAGATGAGAAACAGGAGTGACTACCAGCTCTTCCTTGCGAGCTGGATGTCTAGGGATTTCTATTCAGGGGCTCAAAAATATTTACCAGAGACCACCTGGTACAGCTGGCTGGAAATCAAGGGTGGGAATCTCTCACTTGGAATGTCTTTGGTTGGTTTCAGAAACTTTCTGCTAAGCTTTTCCTGTTGGCTAGAGGAAGCTGTATAGAGTCTCTTGGCATATGAGCTGCTCTGCGTATTGCCTACTGTTGCTGAAGTAGGTGGGCAACATTAGCTCTATTTTCAATCTAAGGCTTTAACAGTGTGTGGTAAAACCCACAGGAGAAAGTGTGAATCTGAACTTATAAACCTTTTGCTGACACAACAAGTGCTTTCCTTCAACAAGGAAGCAGCAGCACTATGGTCCATCTTACACAAATCTTACAACAGCTTCTCGTAGTCTGCTTTGGAATGCCAGGTGACAGCCACACAGTAATGAAGTGGACTTCATGTTTCACTTTCATGAAGGCCTTGTAGAAATGTGCACAGTGCTGTGGTTTTATGTTTTAATTGGTGAAGAGTACACTGCTTGGGAATGGCCTTTGAGTCTGCAAACCTTTCTGCACAGATCTGGTCTTTAATTATTTTTTTTTTTTAATATACATGGGATGTCCTATTATTTCTTAGTTCCAGAAAAGAAGTTGTCCATTGCAGATGATTGGTGTGGCCTGTCAGTGATAGCCATAGCTTGCTTTACAACCTGCCACATTCAGCATTGTTGCAGTACCTCTGATTTCAGGCCCTATCCCAGCACGGTCATGGAGCTGTGGCTGGGAGATTTCTTGGCTCTTGACTGTGAAGTGTTTTATGGAGGAGCAGAAAATGGTTTGCTGCAGCAGCGGAGTTGTATTAAAAATGGAAGATGCCTGAATTCAAAATGAAGGTCTTGTTTACAGTAGGATCTGAGAGTTTTTTTCAGACTGGGCCTCTGCCGCTTTTACTATTATTAGAGCTCATCTTTTTTCATGAAACAACTGCATTTCCAAAGCTACACAATGAACCCTTTCTTTGCTTTCATGTTCTGGAAGTACAATTGTCTTCAGACAAAATTGCCTCATTTCTCAGCAGTGCATTTGACCAAGTGCAGACATGTTCTTACATATGTTCCTGATT